CACCAGCCACCACTACTACAGCTGCACCAGCCACGGGTACTACAGCTGCATCAACCACAACCACCACTGCCACCACCACTACACGTACACCCTCTACCACCGAGTCCGTGGGGGAAGGTTCGTCTGGGCTCTCATCTGGGGCTATAGCCGGTATTACCATTGGCTCTATCGCTGGGGTGGCTGCTGTTGGTGAGTATACAAGCACAACCCTACCTCATTTCTGCTTTTGAAATAACGTATGTGTAGTAACTGAGATTTATAAACCATAAAACTAAAATAAATAGCCAGAGGTTTGATCTTATATAACACGCCCCTGTATGGGACCGACCTTTAATTTGTCACCTTGTAAATATGTAGAATAACATATCACTCATGAGTCATTCATTTGACACTTTGGTGCTTTTGGTTTCTGTAAAATAAACTGAAGGATTAAATTATCCACACCGGGCTAGTAAAGGAGACCTGCTTCTAATTAGGACACTACTTTTATTAGAAGTTTTACGGTAACTTACTGTTACTGTATGCTGCTGTGAAGGCCTATTCTCACCAAAAAAAGAAAAAATGGAAGAAATGCTATAAATGTGTCAGAATTATTAAGTTTAAAGTAAAAAAGTTTGACTTACAAAGTTTAAATTATAAGATACTAAATCATAATGTTGTGACAGTAAGTCAAAATTTTGACTTCCTTCTATATCTTATCATACTTGTCTTATAATCTTCTGCAAAAACAAACAACAAATAAATTTGACTTACCATCTCTATTATCATGTAGAGTTCAGTATTTATTAATTTTGACTTAGAAAAACTCAATTTTTTCTTTTTTTTTCTGGCAATGATGGGCATCCATATAAATCAGCTGTCCACCTAGCATTTAAAGGAAAGGTCAACAAAAGACACAAAAGGACAAAAAATATATACTTTTTTATTCATAAATCATGGCTAATTCCCATGAAGTGTTATATACTCATTCAGAACATAGTTTAAGTATGCATCCTTCCAGTATCCCTGCACACTGGGAGGATGTTAAAAAGGAAAGAGAATCAATCTTCCATCCAAAACTAATCTTCGACCCAAAGTTATTTATCTTAGGAATCACCTCAGGAAAAACAAAAGGACAAAAGCAAAATATACTTATTCAGGGTTTTACTTTTAATAGCCAAAAGAACTATTACAACCCTGTGGTTGCAGCCACAACATTTTAAATGTAAAAATTGTGGCATTGATGGACATATTTGTCTCAAAAATTTCGCTTTGTTAAAGAAATATCCAAACAGTAACAGCTTTATACCCCTGTTTAAGATGATGATTAAATGATTAAAAAAGCATCTCTCTTTTTTTTTCAGGTGGCGGAATCTTTGGCATACTAAAGTACACTGGGAAGATCTAAGACCAATTATTGCCCAGCGAGGGTATAAATGGTCATGGAGTGTGAGCACAAACAACTGCCATCTTAAAGGCAAACAATCAAATCCTGACCCTGTTAACTGGACAATGAAAAATCCTACTGTACTGTCTGAAAGGCTCATATCAGAATACATGTAAAAAAAAAATAAAGATAATTAAATGTACATGATATCATGACGATGTCATGGGCCAAGAGGAAGACATAAAAGTACATTTTGCTATTTAATTGTCTGGCTTTAGGTCAGAAAATAATCTTTAGTTGATCAAAACACTTTTTGTTATAAATATTTTATAATATATTTGTGTTTTTTTTTTCCTTTAAAAAAATAAGGACTAATGGGTTGAGTGTAATTACCAGGAGGTTGGTTCACATCTGATAACTCTTTCAACATGCAGGGTGGATTCAGTTTAACAATAATTAGCTAGATTTTGTAAAAAGTCTTTTTTTTTTTTTACAGCAGTCTATGATGTGTGTATGTGTGTGTGAAGCATGCGGAGTTGGGAGATAAAAAGGCTTTGAAATCACTCATTTACATTTAATAAATAACTATTCCCCCACCTTTTCTCTTAATTGACTTGTGTGCCATGCTATTGTTAATATGTTTGTAATTTATAGCTTGAGCTCATTAGGGTAAAGTTCAGGTGTTGATAATGTAACTACTTCCTGTAAATCTGAGTTGTTTGTTCACTTTATGACTGTATAATAAGGTTACAGTATAATATGTACGTAAGTAACAAAGAAAAGAAACAAGATAACGGTTTTAAACTAGTGATGATGAAGAAACTTTTTCATCTAATTTTACACAAACTGGTCTCAGCTCAGTTTAACTTAAATTCAATGATGTAACAACACATCACACAGTGAAAACGGAAGAGCTGAGAAAAGTTTAAAACTAAAAAGTTTTAAATTAAACTAATGATAATTAATGATAATTTGCTTTTTCTTTTTTAGAAAAACCTGAATCTTTGAGTTTGTATTTCAGAAATTGTTCAGACAACTCATTAAAGTGAAAAACGGTTAATAAAGAGTAGCTCCACTGGACCATTTTTGAAATACAGATTTTTTTTTGTTTCCAAAACTCAAAGATTTAAGTTTTGCAGTAGAAGAAAAGTCAATTGCCTCAACAAGAGATTATAGGTTGGAAAAACCTTTTTGGAATTTTATTTCAAAACTTAAAAATTCAAGTTTGACTTAAAAGTTGAAAAAAATAGGGAATCCTGCTGGCTTGAAGCTACGAGTTTTCTTTTTTTTACAGTGCAACCTGTATATTCTACTGTGTGTAATTAAGCTCCTTGCAAGGTATAATGGCTGCAGAAAAAATGAGATGATAATGATGCTTTCTACCTGTTTATTGTGGGCTATTCCCACGGTAGTGCTTAAGGCCTCAGCCACAACATTGGAAAGGGCTAGAAAGCTGCATGCCACCCCTGAATAAGTCAATGCTGTACCCCAGCCACAAAAGGCTGGAAACAGCAGTGAAAAAACATGTAGTAGCTACCTATAATATTGGGTGGTGAATTAAAGGAAGAAGTGTAGGATTCAGTGGCATCTAGACGCAAAGTTGTGAATTGCAATTACAATTGAATATTGTATATTGTATATTGTATAGTGCCAAATCATAACAATAGTTTCTAATAGAGCAGGTCTAGACCATACTCCTTATGAAATTATTTACGGAGACCCAACAGTTCCCACCATGAGCAAGCACTTTGGCAACAGCGGCAAGGAAAAACTTCCTTTGTAAGAAGCAGAAACCCTGAGTAGGTGTTCATCGAATCAACCTTTGAATACAGCTCTACCTTCCATGACTGAACAAGAATATATGGTGGTTGCAAATATAAAAAAAGAAAAATGCAACCTACCTGTGAATATTATGTTCCATTTCTTCCAGTAGACCTTTAAATGAGCAGACGCTTGTTACTTGTAATAATAAATTTCAATATAATTTGTGACATAATATATAAACCAAGGGTAAGAGTAAAGGTATAATATAACTTGTAACCTAATAAATGATCCCTTTATCAGAGTTCTGAGTGTAACATGCTGATACAAAACATAGGTGACATTGATTCACTGCTAGTTTGTGATAATTGTAGGTCATTCATAATTTTATTTATAACCCTTGATTCAGATACTGTAAATAAAAACTCCCCCAAAACACCATTTCACAGGGAAAAAGGGGAAGAAGAGCAATAGAGGTCAGACAGATGCGATAGATATTGTGTGTACAGAACAGAACAACATAATAATATTACAGTATAGACAATCAGGAAGACAAAATTAGTCTTCCTGTAAACATACATGAAGAACATAGTTCCGGGATGAAGTCAGGTGTCGCCAGAAAGATAAGACCTGAGCCACATAATCTCCTCTCCGCCATGGAGACTGGAAAGAGGACAGACTAAACAAACACAAGAGGCAAAGCTCAAGCACACCGTTCACACAGATAGGACAAAGGAAACACACACATACAGATCTGACAGATATGGAGCACTTTAGAAGTCTTTAGAAGCACTTTAAAGTCTGATCTGATGGATAGGGAGCCAATGAAGGGAAGCTAAGATTGGTATAATGTGATCAAGTTTTAGTTAAGATTATAGCTGCAGCTTTCTGAACTATTTGAAGACTTAGATACTTAATAATAACTTAATTAAGACTTCATAATCTGGGTGAAACTAAGGCATTGATTAAAGTCTCTGCATGCACAATGCACAGAAAAGACCAAATGTTAGCTGTGTTGCAATGTTGGCAATTTCTTTACAATACCGGTAGAGAACAAGTGTCGGGAGTTATACTACAGGGCATCAGTTTTATGAGACTTTATGAGCAGGAGTTGGACCTGGCTGTGTATAATTTAGTAGTTTAGTAGTAGTGGGCTAAGCATAGAGCCCTAAGGTACTCCATATTTCACAACTTAATAGTTTGTATTGTTATTATAGGAAACATAATAAACATTGTGTTCTTTCAGATAAGTAAGACTTTAACCATGCCAGATAAGCCAAATTGGATTTCCAGTCAGTCTAGGAGTATGATCCGTGGTGTCAAAAGCAACAAAGATCCAGTAATAGGAGCGCCTATACTACTTTGTAGAGAAGGGAAAGTTAGAGAATGGTCAATAATTATTCAGTGACTCTGGATCAAGGTGTGGCTAGTTAAACTACAGCAGTCAGTCTCTCAGCAAGTGAAGTTAAAGTTGATGGACCAGCGTGGCAAGTCGCGAATACAACACCACCAACGTTAGCAACACTAGACTGTACTTGCTTCAAATTGAATAAGAAAGGGTGTTACCACTGCAGTGAACTGGTTCTTGGACAAACTGAAGTGGCAGAGAAAAAATGTCCAAAAATCATCAAAAAATTGGTGGAGATGGTTTTAACACAAGACCTTAAATTAGTTAAAGGAGGTTAAATTTGAAAATAGACTTATAGATTAAGGCAGCATCCCCACTGTGTTTAGTAGCCATAGCAACATGAACGTAGGGGAATAATCAGGTGGGGAAACATCATTTAATGTACGGGAAAAAAATATTTTAGAGAAGAATGAAACTGATTATCAGTAAGGATTTGTAGACAGTGGTCTTATATTTATAAAACCAAACTTGAGGGTCTTGTAGGGGCTGCAGCTTTCAGTAATTGGCAAATCTGTAGAGTTACCAGTACATAATAACAGCTGGAATATAAGACCTCTTATTGAAAATGGTGTGGAGATCTTATTTTGTGAACTAGATGTGCTTTCTGGGACACCACTATTGTTAGGTATCCGAATTTTATGATTCACATATTAAGGGAAAGATAATTTTTGAGCAGGGGAGGGAAACAGTCTCAGTGATGTAGACGGGGCTATCAGTTTGCACTGTGAAGATTTCCCGGGCTGGACATGTAAGATAGTGGACTACAAATCTGCACTAACAAACCTAGCAGACACTCTTATCAGCCTTGACCCGCTAAGCGTTAAGTCTAATGTCAAATTTGACGTAAACACCTTCAATCTTAGATAAAATGCTGGTTCAAGCAACCACAGAAAGAAGGCCTGTTATCAAAAAGGCCAAATCCATAACGTTACTCACAACAGTAACAAACCATGACAACAGTGAAGTGAAGTCAGCCCACTGCTCACACCCCTCATGGTGTAAGAGACCATCAGCTAATTAATGCTGACTGATTTTTCTGCCAAACTCCCAACTGACATAGATGAGAGCAGCCCATCCAGGTACTTCGGCCCCGCCCCCGTTTTGGGTGTCTGTCTAATTTGATTGGCGGCAAATATAAATTCCGAGGTCTTTTCCAGTTTAATAGCATAAAATAAGAATACCGTATTGCTTTTTAGCTATTAGCAGCCTAAATCCTATAGCCAGCAAGGCAAACAATTATGTTGTGTCAATGAAAACAATGCAGAAATAGGGGTTGATGAGTCCTTTCAGTATGCCTCCATCAAGGAGGACAGACCTGACATTTTATATTATTGATATTATTAATATGTAACCTTATTCAGAACCACCGTTTGTGTTCATTAACCGACCTCGAGCCAAAAGAAGTAGAAAACATGTGGGTTTTATCTCCATTTCCTGCTTTTCCTTTTGCTGTTTATAAGGTTCATTATTAGAAGGTAGGTCAGCTCAGTTTATGTGAATTAATAAGGTTAAAAGACCCTCTGCTTCACACCGTCAAACCAAACTCCATTCAAAGAATGTCTGTTTTAAGGTAGAATCGTATTTTTTCACAGTAAAAACTTTATTTCCACCATCACTAAGACTCTTTTCTGATTCTCTTCAATCTACAGACACAATCGGCACACACGTCATTTACTCAATAACATCATTAACTAACCAATGATGAAGTGTTCGACAAACACATATTGACTGTCTTGGTCCCTCAGTTAACCATTTCTAACCTCTCTGTGGATCATTTAAAGCCACAGATCTTTTCTTTTACTGTCCTTCGATGATTAGCAGAGTAAAGAAAATCATAAACTGGCTATTTTAAAATCATTTGATGTGCATTGTACCTCAAGGCTCTTATACAGCACTAGTTTCACCCAAAAAGGGGGCGGGATCATTGTGAGGACAAGAAAGTAAAGTATGGCTGCTCTTATCTATAACTGTATAACTATAACTTCGTGGAAATCATGATGGCC